AAAAAAAAAAAAAAAAGTGCAAAAGGGAACACTCCAGTGAAGATCGGGCCAATTCACAGAACAAATGAGAAGCGAAAATCCACTCACTTGCAGGTCTTGGTGGGACGTCACCCAGTGGCCCCCGACTGCCAACAGACTGATGATGTCATGCTTGTGTAGGTGGAACGTCGCCTCCTCTTCCCCTTCCTCCTTGTCCTGCTCTTCTCGATGCTCCTTCTCTTGCAGACTAACTTGAATCAAGAAGTACAAACTTCATCCTCTGGACATACATATATCGGAATGTTTTATTTGTTATGTTTTTTTCCAAAATACGTACCTCCTTGGTCGACAACTATGTCCACTCCCAGACCCCCCGTCTCCTCCATGACCGCCGGAAGAAGCTCCGATGGGTTTTTGTAGACGGGAATCACCCTCACTGGTGGGACAAAAAACACATTTTAGCTAGTCGATTGTTGTGTGCCCAGTTCAACATCTAACATTTGCTGAACAAGCGGCACCACCGTGCGAGGGTTTATGTCATCCACGCGTCGTCTGATGCCCACTGAAATTGACCTCAAAAGTGCCCTCGGACTCGCATCGCTCATTTGTCGACTTGGTTTGGTCAGGTGACGTTTGCAATGCGAGCCCGAGGGCACTGTGACACCAACTTCAACGGATGGACCAATCTGCTTAATTCTTGTTCCGCAAACGTAACGTGAATCAGAACATGGCGTTACTCTAATGGGCCCGCATAAAACAGATTGTTGCAAAGAAAATGTTTGCCTCGAGTTGCCCTTTAACAACTCACAAATTGTCATGAAAACCCTTCGTGCATCAAACCATCCATTTTCTTTTATCGTTTGGAAGAACTGCGAGGCAGATGTGCTCACAACTCGTCCCCAGCGCTGCCATGATAGAAGTCAGACACAGCGAGTGCGCGTACGCACCTACGCTGGGTCTTAGCTGCTCCAAGAAGGTGTGCTGCTGCTGCGAGTGCGACGTGGTCAGTACCTTCACGCCGTGGTAGCACGCCAGCTGAATGCACATCAGGCCAAAAGGCTGAGTGGGGGAAGAAGAAAAAAAAACACACACATAGGAGGTCTAAACAAAAGTGCATTGTTCATCGCGGTCGCAGCAGACGGGAGGCACGTACGCTGGCGCCGTCCGCCACCAGGAGCGTCTGACCGGCCGCCATTCGAGCGTGCGTGTGGAGGGCGCTGTACGCTCGCAGGCCGTCTTCCAGCGCTGCGGCCACGCTGGTGCAGCTCAGTTTCTCCGCTTTCGGAACTGCACAACAAATCCAATTCAGTTTTTGCTCAAATTATCTCTTCATCGGTGGACAAAAAAAAAACAGGCATCAATCCAAACAAATAAATAAATGGCGTTTTGCATCGTGGGTGCACATGCCCTGGCATTGGACTGAAATGAGCGCAAGAATCACTTCATTGTGTATGTGCGTGCTTGGAAAGAGGAGTCCACGCTACCTAGATACTGTTCATTCATGTCGATGACATCACTGAGACCCGAGCAGACGGAGTCCAGCGGCAGAATACCTAGGAAAGAGGTTACATGGGAAAGCTGACGTTTGTGTTGCAAGCACATGGCGCGTTATGAGCGACCTACCGACAACTTCATCGTGGGGTTGGAAGAAGGTGACTTTTGGACCCACTATAGGGACGACGGAAAAACAAACAAGTGAGTATTAAGTTACCCTTTTTCAATTTGTTTTTACATTTGTAACAGGGAGGACTCACGGAGAGTTTGACAAGGTTAAAATACAGAATCAAAAAGGTGAAAAGAAACGTATCAATGAAAACAGTGAATCGTTTGTGTTACGGCTATACAAGTAAGTGCGCCGTGAGTGATGGTGACTAACCATTTGGCTAGAGTTAAACGTCAGTGAATTATTTTTTTTTTTAACATGGCTGAATTGACTGCATCATTTTTTCTTATGATCGCGACACACACTCCGAGCTACCTGTTAAGACCATACATGTACATACTCTGTTCAAGTGTGAGATGCCTAAACTAGTCCGACTTCCGCCGCCATGGCATTTCACTTCTTCATAATCGATGCATCATGCCAAGATGCGCCCTCTAATCTTTGTCTTGTGCACTCAAATGCACGGCAATACAACATCACCATCTACTGGGATCCGACTGTCATTTCAGCGGTGTACAAATCTGGATTTCAGAAAGACCCCTTGGGTATCTACACGTTGAAATACACACTCGACCAATCTGTGGCCATAAATGGTTGGATTCCAGTGACTAAATGTAAAACTGTATAGCGGAATAAGATTTAACAACGTTTCCCAGTCTGCGAACTTTAACCAAGGTATTTTTTTTTTGTACACAACTTTCTGAAGGGAAGTAAATAGTTCTGCCTCCTCTGTTTGTGGGTGGTCACTAATCATTTTTGAGCTTCCCACCTTGTTGTACAATGCCCGCCAGCTCCCTGCCAAGAGGAATCGCATCTCTCTGCAGGCCCACGTCTTCCAGAAACTGGAGCGTGCAACAAAGCGAGAGTATCAACTGTGTGACAATTTCAAGCATAGTCTGATCCTATTTCAAGGTTGCAATGCAGATGAGATGATTCTATTACATTATTACCTTGAGGTCCACCGGGCTGAGGCCACACGCCTTCACGTGAATTCTGACGTCATGGCTGCCTAAGACCTCAGGAAGCGTCTAGAGAGGGAATCGTCACAAAGAGAGGTGATGCTCGACAGCTATGCAGAGCCTTAACAGCCTGACGTACGATCGGGAAAAATAACCGCCCTCTTCAGAAAACAATTGAATTCGTTTTCAATTGCTTTCCTGGCACAAACAAGACACGATCTCACCGTTTCCTGGTTGACGAATTTGAGCTCGTTGCCGCTAATTTGGCAGAACAAACCCTTCATGTTATTTCCCCCCAAATGTTTTTCAGATGAAATTCGAATATAATTGATATTCATACAAAGCAACTAATTGTCGTTTCTAAACCCTTCATGTTATTTCCTCCCCCCAAATGTTTTTCAGATTAAATTCGAATAGAATTGATATTCATACAAAGCAACTAATTGTCGTTTCTGTTTACTTTGCGCGTGTCACGTGACCACCTTTTCCTACTTCTTTTGTTCACAAGCAGCGAAGCCAAGTGATGATTTATGTTGGAGCGCCCTCCCTTGAACATTTCTAGCCACTACTATTTCATGGTCACACGCCATCAATTCTATGCTTCAACTTAAAAAAAACTTGAATTCTATAAAAACAAGGTGACATAAAACACACGTTACACACTTTGAAGTCATATTTTCACTTGCACATCTTTTTATTTGTTTTCAATTGCTTTTCTTTTGGGCATTGCAAGGTGTAGGGTTCTTATTTCACTGTACACCACACTCACAAGAGAGGCGATTCTAGTCGATTCTATTGTTGGTTGAAGAGCACCAAAAGAGGTGTTAAACTCTCTGGGTGGGTACCTCAGAAAGAGCAACTTCCAGTAATGTCCCTTTACACGTCATGCAATGGTTGGCCGGATAGTAATTATGTAACAATGTAAAAGTCCGTTTTTCCAATCAAAGTTAACAAAACAAGGATGTGGTGACTTTTGGGATCGTGACAATGTGTTGTTGGAATAAAACACACATTTGTTGATTATCCTCTGGGGAGAGATGAAAGACATTTTTTCCTACTGGAAAATTAATTGAGCTGAGGAGAGATAGGCATCAATATCGAGGCACTAATCTCCAAATCCATCCATCTATTTTCTAATCCTCTTATCATCACAAGGGTCGCGGACGTGCTCGAGCCTATACCAGCTGTCTTCGGGCAGTAGGCGGGGGACACCCTGAACCGGTTGCCAGCCCAACGCAGGGCAAACACAGACGAACAACCAACACTCACAGCTAGGGACAATTTCGAGTGTTCCGTTGACCTGCTGTTTTTTTTTTTGAATGTGGGAGTAAAAACCGCAGTACCCGGAGAAAACCTACGCAGGCACGTGGGGAACATGCAAACTCCACACAGGAAGGCTGGGGCCGGAATCGAAGCCTGCACCTGCGCTGTGTGAGGCAAACGTGCTGACCAGTCGACCAGCAGGCCGCCCACCCCAAAATCCAAATATCAAATATTAAAAATGGTCTGAATTATTTTTTTGTTGGTTTTCTCTCTTTTAGTTCTACAAAACCAGGGGTCCCAACACTGTTTTTCATGGAAAACAATCATGTACTTTTTATCCCCGTTTTTTTTTCAAGAATTGTTTGAGTTAAAAAAAAAAACACTTTCAAGCGGAACTGTGCTTTTCACAGACTCACGGATAACGGGGTGTACTGTACTGTATATTTGATCGAGCCTAGCCGTTTAAATCCATCGCGAGATTTCATCTTCTTAGTTTTGATCCCGGTTAAATCTCGCGATACATCACGGACGTCAACCCCATTTTCCCAACTGTCTCCGCTTGTACTCAGACGGGATTTCGGAACCAGCAGCACCGGTCGGAGAATCACAGGAGCGAACCAAGGGTGGGTTTTGATCGGAAAACAACACAATTCGGTGGCGCCTACGTCATCAAGTTGACCGAAGGATCACTTTATGCAGCATTTCAGCATGGTAGCGTTACAATGAGGTAAGCGGACTTGTTTCGGATGTGATGCGAACGAATGTCCCCTGAGCGGGCTGACGTTAGCTTTGCTTTAGCTTCGATGATAGCCGCGTTGATGTCTTCCATAAGTTCCGGCGCTCTTGGGCTCGCCGTGCCCGGACAAAGTGTACGGTCGCCGACGTGTAATTGTGCTCAGCGCGATGACTCGAGGACAGATGTTGAGCCGCGTTCCCCGGGCAGCCAAAGTGCTAGCCGCCGCTATGCTAACGTGAAATCACTGCATCTTGCACCGCTTGTCGTTGATCTCACGGCAACACTCTGGTTGCATTTGTGGTCAAACTCACGCAACCTCTTTTGGTTAACTAAGACTCACAGGGTGATGAGTCAGCCAGATAACGATGAATAATAACAATGACGAATTATTTCCCATTAGCTCCGGGTTGGTTCAGCCTTAGCTGGATGCTACTTTAAACTGACCATCCCTTGAAATCGTTGCGTCGGGAAATGCACTTGTGTGCCGAGATGTCACATGAAATGCTGATTTAATGTCTTTCCGGTGTCACTAAACCTGTCTGCATCAGGGGAAGAGTCAAACTTCAGCCTTCTCGATTGGACAGTGTGAAGCAGTTCCCATGGTAACGACTGAAGCTTTTAAAAAAAGGTCATGTTTTGGGTTTCCAGGTCATGCTTGTGCATGTTGTGCAGACATCTCAACAAAACAGGGGTGCCAAAGAATCACTCCATGAAATACGGAAGAAATGTACGGCATCTTGAACGCAGATTAAAATCGAATTTATTAAAATGAAGCTTGTTTCCATGCATGCAGCCAGTTTAAACTACAAAGCACAAGTTTAGCACAGCTGCAGTGTTAGCTCACAGTATCCTATTTGTCTTTTGGGGTGCTACATTAATTGACATTATATATATATTCTCTTTGGATTTTCACCTATTGCAGGTGTGTCAGGATGCGCCCCGTGTGCCTGAAGGGCTCCGCTTGGTTTCCTTTAACATCCGTTGGTGGCTTGTGGCGAGCCGCCGATACATTAAGGCGGAGGAGGGAAATGGAGGCCGGGCCCATGCGGATGACCTCATCACTTGACAGCAGTGTGATAAGAATGTGTTGCCATGTGTCACTGGTGGGGGGGGGGCAAAGTGAGACGTGAGTGTCAGTGTGTGTTCCGAGTGGCATTGTGGCGTGTGGAGAGTTTCTATGCTGTCAACGCTGCGGGAGGTGGCTCGCAGTAGTCAGGACCCAGTATTTCCCAAACCTTTATGGAGCCAAGGCGCTTATATCTCAGTGGGGGGAATCTCATGGCACATCACGACTCACAAACAGAACATTTCGTAGTTTTGCCTGTCACTATGCGTGGTTGGCATGGATAAATCCGCCCCCCCAAAAGACGCCGGCTCAGTGACCATGGTGACGAGGAACTTGCTACTTGGCAAGTTTGTGTAATTGTGCTCAGCGCGATGACTCGAGGACAGATGTTGAGCCGCGTTCCCCGGGCAGCCAAAGTGCTAGCCGCCGCTATGCTAACGTGAAATCACTGCATCTTGCACCGCTTGTCGTTGATCTCACGGCAACACTCTGGTTGCATTTGTGGTCAAACTCACGCAACCTCTTTTGGTTAACTAAGACTCACAGGGTGATGAGTCAGCCAGATAACGATGAATAATAACAATGACGAATTATTTCCCATTAGCTCCGGGTTGGTTCAGCCTTAGCTGGATGCTACTTTAAACTGACCATCCCTTGAAATCGTTGCGTCGGGAAATGCACTTGTGTGCCGAGATGTCACATGAAATGCTGATTTAATGTCTTTCCGGTGTCACTAAACCTGTCTGCATCAGGGGAAGAGTCAAACTTCAGCCTTCTCGATTGGACAGTGTGAAGCAGTTCCCATGGTAACGACTGAAGCTTTTAAAAAAAGGTCATGTTTTGGGTTTCCAGGTCATGCTTGTGCATGTTGTGCAGACATCTCAACAAAACAGGGGTGCCAAAGAATCACTCCATGAAATACGGAAGAAATGTACGGCATCTTGAACGCAGATTAAAATCGAATTTATTAAAATGAAGCTTGTTTCCATGCATGCAGCCAGTTTAAACTACAAAGCACAAGTTTAGCACAGCTGCAGTGTTAGCTCACAGTATCCTATTTGTCTTTTGGGGTGCTACATTAATTGACATGTATTTGGTGGGCTCTGTGATGAAATACTGCAGCCGCGAGTGGTTATCTTTCTGGGTGCTCGCTCTGTCTGTGTGTGCATAGAGGTATTGTAAATGAGCCACTGGTAGCAGTGGATAACAGCGTTCGCTTCTGAAATGCGGCACTTACTTGATAGCTCACGATACTGAACTCATACTTGTACAAGCTTGACGTACACTTTATGGTTTGCAACCTTGCCGACCTTCCATGGACGTATATATATATATATATATATATATATATATATGTCTGTGTGTGCATAGAGGTATTGTAAATGAGCCACTGGTAGCAGTGGATAACAGCGTTCGCTTCTGAAATGCGGCACTTACTTGATAGCTCACGATACTGAACTCATACTTGTACAAGCTTGACGTACACTTTATGGTTTGCAACCTTGCCGACCTTCCATGGACGTATATATATATATATATATATATATATATATATATATATATATATATTCTCTTTGGATTTTCACCTATTGCAGCTGGCTCCATATGACTTTGCTTCTTCATTGTGTACCCAGCACTGTTTTCAATAAAGGACCATAAATTGAAAACATAGACTGCCACATATACACTGAAGAGATCAGCCCTTTGGTGTGTGTTCTTCATGAAACTAGAGTCATGGTGTCACGGATCATTACGGATGTGTGCATCAGAGGAGACAATAGTCTAAAGGAGGGAGAGAGGGTGACTAAAAAGGGCTGTAGGGCAGCAACAAAAGTTCAGACAAAGGTGCAGATCTTATTTTTAACATCAGTTTAATGATTGAGATTGGAATGGAAATGTAAATATAATTTCATCATGACTCCATTCCAAGGAGAGGGCCTTTCTGCACATAAAGTATTGGATTTATGCCTTCCATTGTCCTACTTGTCCAAGTACAGTGGAAACCAAATAAGGTGATCGTGTAGAAAAGAGGCATGGACTTACTGTCATCCACGGTGATCAGTTTGTGGCGAGGCATCTTCCTCTCATGGCCCGAGGTCCAGAGAGCTTAGTGAACATGTGAGATGAAAATGAAGCTGGTTTCTCCTTCTACGAAGTGGATGGACACACTGCCATGACAGCAAACAGTGCATAGAAAGGCATCTCTATGATGAGCACCTCGCATGAGAAGTTCACTTTTTTCTTGCCATCCATTGACCCAAAACACACACAATGACATCCTGGAAACCTAAGAGCCTCGTAATTTCACTGCCAATCAATTATTCAAAACAGTTATGACCGCCTTTATCCAGTGTGATGTGTGTGTGTGTGTGTGTGTGTGTGTGTGTGTGTGTGTGTGTGTGTGTGTGTGTGTGTGTGTGTGTGTGTGT